TCGACGCGATAATACGCAAGTACAGGGAAAAAAAAAAAAAAAAAACTACTTCAGCCACGTTCTTCCTCAACAACGGCTTTTTGGAGGGTTTTTTTTGTTGCGAAATTAAAGAAGATTCCTTGTTGCCGTTCATTCTGGCAGTGGCAGATGGGTGTAATCGCTGAGCCACAAGGCGCCAAAGGGAAGCCAAGTTTCAAGAAGAAGAATCGCTTTCTGAAAGCCAGTAGTTCGACCTGGAATCAAATTCTGACGAACGGATCCCCTGTATGAGAATTTTCTCATATTTCTCCATGTGAGACGCAGATATGAGAGAGACCTTTGGGGAGATCTATATAAACGCATCTCTTGCTTACGCAAATAACCATCGTATGTCTTACCGTGATTCAAGTAATGCAACTGTTGCTGTTCCCTGCCCTTTTTCTTCCGGCTAGTATTGAGGACAAAGACATAGGAAGACAAACTTTTTTTTTTTTTTTTTTTCCCCAATGGCGGGCCCTGAGCCGACTTGGGCTTGGCCCCTATTAAGGTCGGAAGTAGTGGTCACTTTATTATTAAGGCACCTAATAGGTGGGCCACCTTTCAGTTTCGTAACTTATAGTGTAATATAACATACAGTGTATAATTGGTAATGTATGAATTGTATAAAATCAGTATCGTAATATATAGTGCACTGCTTCAAAATTAGGTTTGAAATGTATTGCAATTGAATAATTAGTATAACGTAACGTATTGTAATAATCAGTATCATAATATATAGTACAATGCATTGTAAACAGCGTATAGCAGACAGTCAAAATAATGTACAAAGTAAGCAGTGATGCGTGCAAATGGAAATAGTAGTAATGCAAGTAGAAATTTACATTTCATTGACATTACTGTTGTTTGCATGTCATAATATAACTAGAGGTTTTATGAGTACTATTAATAGTACTATTAGCGGTCTTGGTACTGTACTGAAATGCACTGCGTGCACACTTACAGGAGTAATATGTTCAATATCAGGAACACTATGGAGGGGTGTTACATTATGTATGCACTGCATAACTAGCACAGTGATTGTAAGTTAGTAATGTAGCGTATTGTACAAATTAGTATCGTAATTTATAATGTAAAGTATTGTAAACAGCAATATAGCAAACAGTCAAAACAGCATACAATGTAAGTAGTGATGGGCACAATGGAAATAGTCAAAATTGTATTATACTTATCATTAGTATCATTATTGTCTGCACCTTATAATATAATTAGAGCTATCAGAAGAACTATTATTTGTACCACTATTGATTTTTGCACAGTGTGAGCACTACCAGGCGTACGACTTACAGTGCTATTCCGGCATTAAAATTGCACTGTGAGTGTACTATACATTAACACCATATTGTCACATTGTATACCGTTATTGGCACTATTATGTGCTATATAGCAAGCCTCCAGCTTCGGTAATGTATATAACAATAGCATCTGAGCCATGTAATTGTTCCTAGTTTATTACAATGTTAAGTATTGTATTATAGTGTTACAGTATTGTTTGCACTGTACATAATTTTTAGAATTATTAGGAATACTAATATCATTATAATGGTACTGTATAGCACTGTATGTACAGAAAATATTAATATCAGCACTACTGTGGCACTGAAGTCCACTATTGGCGCTTTTATTTCTGACTATGTATGCCATTATCGGTTATATATCAAGTTGTAACACGTTTATTCTTCATGTGTGCATAAACGTAAATCATTATTGGTGCTATTATTTCGCAGTATAGTTAAGCGTAGTCAGAATACATAAAGCATGTTCTGTATATAAGTGCACTCAGAATAATTAAAATGTAATCAACGTACTTAAACATAAAACATCATTGTATTTTCAATATTCTCAGTATATTCAATTTTTAGTAGTTTCAGTTTCCAACTATTTCGATACTATTAATCAGTCTGTTGTATTTTCAGTATTTATCCACAATCAGTATAGAATGTTTTCTAGTATCTATGTATCACAGTATTTATGCAGTTTCTGTATGTACTCATAACCCAGAGTAATTTGATTATTAATTTTGTATTATTTGAATGTAAAAGTAGCATGTTACAAGAGCCCCGTATGGCCATGTACTTATATTTTTCTTTGATATCAATGGATACTGGGACTCGGGCAGTTGCATGGCAGCGAACCCCATCGGCGGCTCTGGATAATGGTGGACGTGGTGCTTGCTGTATTGATTAACCATTAAGGTAAAGGGACAGTGCCCACGTTCTCCGTCACTATCACTATACTATAATGACTATAAAGAGACAGCCGTGCTTTCTCCGGGATTCGAACCCGGGGCCTTTGGTATCGCAGTCGGCTCCCTAACCGCTATACCGTATGGGCGCAGGAAGACAAACTAAAATGCGCGAATGTGGCTCTGGAAATTCGTCGTATAGCTTCACCGTAAAAGTACCGAAATATACATAAGTACGAGTATAATGCAAAACTATTGAAAAAAACCATTACCGAAAGGGCAATTTTGAATATTCATAAGACTTAATAATAACCAAATTTTTTATGAACAAAATTTACGTTTAATATGAATGTTTCGAATAACAAAAGAGGGCCCACTAGTGGACGATTGGTTAAGACCTTTGAATACTAATAGTTCGACCTGGTTTGGATTCAATCACAGGCGAAAAGGCTGGCTTCACGGCTGGCTTTCTCCATATGTATAATATGAATACGAGCCACTTTCCATCAGAAACTCCTCTGTACATCCGAAACCCCTGATACCTTTTGACGTATTCAGAAACAAATGATAACTACATTGCACCCTTTTTGGTATTCGTCCTGGATTCGATTTCGGAAGAACGGGCTGGCTGTATGTTGTTTCTCCATGTGTAATGTACGTATATACAAACAAGTTTTCCTTATAAAGGCCACAACAAAGGACTCGCTTCCCTTAGGAAATAATTTTCACACTTTTTTTCATAAAACAAGTAAACAAAATAATATATTTGCAGGAAGTTTAATACTCAAGTAGTTGATATGAGTTAATACCATATGCACTTCAAACGAAAAAAAAGTAAAAGGGAAGAAACTATGAATATCAAACTTTCTAGTTAATCAGTGCTATTATAATAAGAGAGAACAAAGATCATTTTTGATAACTTTATCTTTCTGATTGCTCTCTTAAAATAAAGCTAAATTTTTGAGGCATTTCTAAAATCTATTGTGGTCAAATTAAGTTCTTGACAAATCTAATTCAAATTTGTTCTTTATAGGAGTTTTTTTTTACTAATCGGTTTTGAGGGCCGTAAAAAATCGCCAAACTTGTTGATGGCAATGCTGCCAAAAATAATTGCGGCAATCTTAACGCAAGAAAGGAAGTATAATAGTAAATAACTATCTAAGATTGATGTTTTATAATTTAGATGAAAGAAATTTCATATAATACACTTTATTATTATAATTTATATAAAAAAGGCTAAACATGACTGAATGGAAGCATAAGAGTAAATAACTATTTCGGATTATTATAATTTATATAAAAATTGCTAAACATAACTGAATGTATGCCTGCATCGCTATTTCGCTACCGAGTTATCACTAAAGCATAATTTCATCTCGTTGGTTATTCAAACATAATTTTCTCTAATGAATGATGCCTTTTCTTTGAAAAAATTCTCGGGAAAAGTGCAGAATCGCCCACTTATTTGTTTGCCGCTTTTTACAAGGGTAAAAATAATTGGATTTTTGTCAATTTTCTTTTACTTTTTAAGTGAAAATAGGTCTATGTGTACATAGATAAAGCCAAGGGTGTGTGCAGTGCCATTTTTATGCAATTCTGGGATATTTTTTTAAGTGAAAATAGGTCTATGTGCACATGGATACGGAGTATGTGCAATTCTTAAAAATGCGTCAAGCAGTGGGTGATTCTGCACTTTGCCCAAAATTCTATTGCCGACTTTTCGTCATGGGCAATTCCCAAATTGTTAAATTCCATAGGATATTAAAAAAGGATTTAAAATCAAAAAAGGATTTTTAAAAATTAAAACATGGCGTCTTAAGAAATATAGAACTATATAAACTTACACAATCTGAAATCACCGCGTACGCTAGATTTGGCGCTTTTGCGCATACATTTTCGCTGGAATTCTTTTACGGTCCTCAAAACGGAATAGTACTTTTTTTTATGTTTATTTAAAGTTGAATTATTTTAGTCTTTAATTCCTTTCGTTGTTTTATTCAAATTAAATCTTTTTTCCGCTGACCTTCCTCTGATGTTCGATAAAACTGTTTTCAGTATTGATTATTGATTTTAAGCAGCTTCTGATAAGATAAGAGTATTTGTAAATATTCCCTCATATTTACCGAAAACTTTGTACTTTCTACAGCTATGCAGTTTTGTAAATACTTTAAAAGATACTATTCCTGTTGCTTAACAGTTATTAAACTGTACTAGTTTGCAGTTTTTAGTAACATGTAATACTTTAATTATCAAAAACTTTAAAATACAGTACTGTTCAATATCCAACCTTCAAAAATCTATAAATTGCATTTATGATTAATTGTATAAACACTATATCTTTTATATTAAAACACTAATATAAGATTTTTACATTAATACCTTTAAAATATTTTGATTATAATTTGTATTTTACATAGCAAATATAACATTATGAAGCAAATCGTAAATACAATAACTAACATTTTATATTCAATTAATTATTAAAGAAATCTTACTTTGATAAAATTACACAGAATGGTAACAGGTTGGTAACAGAATGGTAATTACAGGTTTATGTCATCTTGTTTTTATTCGTGAATACAAAACTGTTGAGACACAAAATTGGGTAGTACCAAGTAATAGCTTTTAGAATATCGAATTTTTCCTGTACAGTTATACTCTAAAAAAATCGAAACAGCGATAACGATTTGGCCCAGCATTTTATAAAATAAAAATTTAACACCTTTAATAGATCCGAGTAATGGATTTAAACGTTGAATAAGTGCTTAGAAATGTCTACCTTTGTAACCAATGTGAAGATTCTGTCCATTAGTAATCCCCAAAGAGCCTAGAGTGCTGTACGAGGGCAACGGCCTTTTCTTGCCATCAAAAATTGCTAAATTGGAGCTGTAGGCAATGCTTTTTTGCGTACAGTAGGAGGAGATGAGAGATGAAGCTGTAGCTTCCTGGTTTGTATCCACCACAACCGAACTCCCGTCGGTTGCTGTTAAGGGTTGAAGAGTTACCTGCATTGGTTGCGCTGAAAATGGAAAAGAATACTTAAAATTCAACCTGCAAGGATAAGGAGAAAGTTTGCCCTACATTTAGGTATATTCTTTTCTCTTTCAGATTGCAGTCAAGGTTACTTGCAAAAGCACGGCAAGTGGTTTTAATATCATTGCAGCTAAACAAACATGAAGCTAATGATACAAGCTCTGAAGAATTAACAGTTTTTAAAATCTGTAAACACTCGTCATACCCGGAAAAGCAGAGTTTCAAGGAAATATGGCTTACTGCCAATCACGGAAACGGTCAGTGTGTAATTAACCAACCAACGTGACAGGAAGCTTGGGAGAGATAAAAAAATTCTGTTCGCCGATGTTTCTATCTTTTGTTAGAGAATTTGTTCTTATAGAATTAGTGTAAAGATTCAAAATGCCGCTCATTTTCACTAAATATTTAAAAAACATTTATTATTGTATTTCGAGCAATCGAACATTTTAATCAGTTTTTGCTGATGAAAAGTTCTAGGCAAAAATTTTCAGCTATCGTATATGAATAATCTGAGAAATATACGAAATTAAGTTTCTTATTCTTCAAACTAAGCAACTGATTATGGACAAAACACGTAAGGTCATTTGCCTTTCGTAACCTTGAGTTTAAGTACATTTCATTCCGTAAAGAAAGAGAACGAAAGCGCGATTATTACTATTATTATTTTTTCATTTTATTCATCTCGACGAATTATTGTTGTCATTCGTGCCGAAGGAACCTATTAAATATTAGTTATTAGTATAGAGGTCTAATTTTTATCCCGATGAATGAAATTTCATTCAGAATTTTTTTCCCCGATTTTTCACATATTTTTGGTAGTTACTGAATTATAACAGTACACTTCCTTCCAGTTCTAGTTCTATATTCATTGCTTGATTATACTTTATGTGGTTTGAGTTTACAGTGCGTAAATGAGTTTAGAATTGTAATTACTCACAGCATTCTACAAAAATCAGTCAGTGTTAAATTACTAACATGAGTTTCAACTAGATGAAAAAGCCCACCAGCGACCGAGCGGTCAAGTCGCTGAACACTGGTAGTTCTTTTCGAGGTTCGAATCCCGAGAACGGGCTCGTTCCATGGGCGTTTTCGGGGTTTTCCTCAAGTCTAACGTCTGTACGAGTATCCTCTACGAAGCCATCCTCTCCCCTTAGGCAGATAGCCCTCGAAGCTTTGCCGTAATCGCATAAACCAAACTAGATGAAAAACCAAACCTGTTTTTTGAAATGAGAATCTAAATAATAGTTTTTATTTTTATTTCTTAGTTTATTTTTACTTTGAATTTTACGTTTTCACGTTGATTTCTTAGTTAATTTTTAAGTTTTTTCAGTTGCCGGTTTTTAAAATTCACGTAAACGAAAAACTTTAAACAGATAACATCTTATCTTTCAAATTTTGTCAAAGGTTTAGGTTTATTCTATTATGGCGCCTTTGTGGACGACTTTGTAAGGGAAACTGGCTCATTTTTGTCAAAGGAGCTTTGCTCAGGATTGATGGGTTTTGTATTCAGAAACATACCATCGATGGGCCGCCGCACTGATGAGTTCAAATCTCTTCCCCCCCCCCAGAAAACTTGTACTGCAGAAAAGTAGTTCAGCTAGGAAAGAAGAGGAAAAAATTACAATTTTTGCTTTTATAAAGAGGAACTGTAATTAAATTCATAACAGTTTTTCTTCATGCATCTACTTAGTAAAATAAATAATGAAATATATCGCTGGAAAATTAGTATTTAAAAAGAGCTCAGTATATATAAACCTGCATTATTTAAACACGCTTGCGGAACAATAGCACAAATGCCAGGTTTTAATAATTCAAATAACTCAAAAATGACTGAAAAATCACATCAAATACATAAATAATCTGCAGTAATAATATTTTGAAATCCAAACAATAGCTTAATGCATTTTTAATTCTGTTTAATAATTTTCATTTTTAGAAAAGTAAGTAAAAGTTTACCATAAATTTTTAGTCATAATGCAATAGACTAATCCAAAAATTCAAAGTACAAAATTTATGTGTGAGTGAAAAAAAAACCATTCTGCTAATAAAGTTCCACTTAAACAAAAAAGTGCTCGTGCGAGCTTGGGCATCATTTATCTTAAAAAACTTCTGCAAATGCCTTTACTGTTTATACTTAATTAGAATATTTTATTTATGAGGAATAACAGCATAATTAAATTTTAGATGAATATAAAATCATAATATGAATTTAGCTTAAACATTTTGTGTAAAATCTTGTGTTAATGGGGGCAGGTGGACTTTCATTTGTAAAGAAATAATATCGTTTGGTGTAGAAAAGTTGACGTCACAGCGTGCAACTGAGCGAACTTTTTAGTTCAGTAACCTCGCGTTGTGAGCTGCAATGAACATAACGCCGCAATTGACTTCCGATTTTAGTGTATTAAGAGTTTCAGTTCGATATTTAGAGTGTTTAACCATCTTTTAGTAAAAAAGAAATTGGAAAAATAATTGTTGATTCTCCATTGGGCAAGTTTACACGAATTCTTCTTTCTTCAACAGAATCCAGTAAATTGTTAATGCAATTTTTTTTCCAGATGTGTCTAGATTCGTTTCAGAATTCTCCTAAATACTAAAGCACTCGCTTCAGTACAACCAATTATCTTCAGTAAAAGTCGATGGCAGAATTTAGTCATGAGGGGCACAAAAATTTCTGAAGTTATTTTTTCAAGGAAAGGAATTGGAGGAATTCCCGTAAGAATACATTCAATTCAAAATTTAGTACGTCTCTGGGTTAAAAGCGTTGAACACTGGTAGTTTAAATCCTGCTTCAAACCCATGGTTTCATGCTGAATGGTTAGTTGCTTTTCGATCGCCTTGTGTAACGTGTGATCGCCTTGTGTAAGTTTCCCTTACAAATCATTCATGAATGCATTCCTTCACTTGGGCAAATAATCTAAGCTAGCCTAAAATAATCAATTTTTTTTTTTTTTTTTTTTTTTTTAAGAAATGTAAAAAAAAAAGTTATTTTCCATTCAGCATTTTTAAGAAAATGCTTGTTTCAGCTTTAATGAAGAATGCAAATAATTCAACTCTTTTTCTCGCAAATCTCCTTATTACAAAAATTAATGCCTATTAAACTTACATAATAAATAAATAAAAGATGTAAATTTTGCGTTGTGCATCGTGACTAGCATATATGCAACCAATGAAGAGACTGTTTCATATTAGAGGTAGAAGTCAGGTGATTTGCGTGTGCAAGGTCTCACCGCGGGAGGTCACAAACAGGTCTAACAACTTCCAGAAGAAAATGCCAAAATCTAACATAATGCTACAAATATCAATTCACTGGAGAATTTTCCTGCAACAATTCTTGAATCTGAGTTTGAAATTGATGTGTATTAATATTCATTATTTTTGAATCACTTGAATATGAAAGAGGAGACATTCTGGTGTATTCTGTAATACAAACTTTGTTTAACTACAATACGAATTTTTAATTTCATCTTGTCAGCAGAGAAGTTACACGACTACGGTTTATGATTTCATTTCAGAAAGAAGAATTTCAGCCTCTCGGAAGGGGAAGGAAATCTTTATTTTATTGTTTTGACATCACAATAAGGAATAAACTCGAGTCAGAAAAACTGCAAACTGAAATTAATGTTTATAATTCGATTTAAAGCTCACGCTTGGGTCAGATTACCTTTATCTATGTTAAAAATTTAAATGAGCTGTATATAAATTACTATGTGTGAATTCAAAATTATTTTTATGTAAAAATGACCTCCTGATTTAATTTGGTATGCTTTACTAAAAATAAAAATTATGATTTTAGAATCATTTGCAAGCTTAATACACATCAAGGACTTTTCGACGTTTCTTTTCAACAACCAGATCTTATATAATGCAATAAATTAATTTTGTTGAATCAGTAAGCTATCAAAAATTCAAGAACAAATTTTAATCGCAATTGTATAATCGAGAATTTTGCGAATTTTGCCATTACACTGGATAGCGGAAACAATACAATTCCAAATTTACAAGCTCCTACGTACTATATCTTAAAACATCGCATTATATTTAAAGACTGTTTAAAAATTGTTTATAGCATTAACCTGCCAATTGAAGGGCAGAAACTTCCGCTTTCTTCAGTCAGTCCAATGTAATTTTATTAAAATATTTGTTTAAGCTACTTTATATAAATTTTATTTAGTAACTTAATATATTTTCAGTTATATATTAAAATGCTTATCAGATTTTAGTTGAATTATTTTTTCTCTAAAACTTAACACTTTTTTTTAGCTGCAACATATTCATAAAGAAACATTTATTCTTTCTCTGCAATGGATTAAAGTTCCTAATATGTAATGCAGAGATTATCTTACCCAAAGAATTTAAGAACAAATTTTATCGGATGAAGCTGTAAAATATACGTACACCCTGTAAGGCACCTCATAAAATATTTCGTTTGTTTAGTAATTATTCCCACCGGAAACATAATAAAATGAAGGCATTTTTGCAAATAAGAAAAGCTCTCCAAAGATATATCCAATATTATTACTTGCATGGAGTCTTTCACAGCTGGTGCACGTTGAAGATTCACTGATTAAGAGAAAGGGGACCTAAATACACTGATTTACGTGGATAATTAGTCACGTCAAGTACTCGAGAGCTATTTATTATTCCAAAGAACTGCTAGGCAGACAGCCCTCTTGTGCTTTGCCGAATTCGAATAGCCAACCGAAGAACTGCTTTCAGAATGACTTATCAAGGGAAAGCTGGCTCATATTTCCGTTACAATGGATTATCGCAAAACTCTTGCAGTCTACTCGAACCGCAAGGAATTGAACATTGGTTAGGAAAGCTTTCAGAGAATTCATATGCTCTGTAATCAAGGTCATAGTGCTGAATGTCAAAATAATTTAGAAATGAATAGTTAGACAAAGACAACTGATATTTTGAGATTCCCAGTTGTTTACAGATGAACTGTTTACGAAAAAGGAATGTCTTTCATTTAACTAATTTAAC